TGACTACAAAATCTTTAAGGCATGATTTTTTGATAATATTAGAACCTCAGTATACCATTTTTCTATTTTGCAGGTTTCTTTGTCTGATTGATTATTATGAATCACAAATTAATCAAATGAAGAAGGAGCTAAGGTATGAGAAATCTTTAATACTAATCTCCAGTAATGCCTCATGTCTTGCTATTCAGAGTTCAGTGATGTGCTCCTGTTCAAATAAGCAGGAACACTGCCATGGATCTCCTGCTGGAAAAATGGGAGTAGTGATTATGGGAACTGTGATTATTCTTGTATAAAACATGTAATGGTAAACGTGGTGTATTCTGTGTTCCAGATGTCACTAACCTGTAAGAAACAGCAATGAACTGCATTGGTCTTGGAAGTTTGGATTCGCCCTGGGAATAGCTGTCAGTCAGCCTAAGCAGTGAGGGAGGCAGTACTAGGAGGCTGTGGGTATTTAGATACCTGAGCTATAATATATATGTGTTTTGCCCTCTGCTTTTGCAGTGCTTCACAGGCAGTTGTTACATTGGTAATGCTCAGGTGATGATCTCCCAAGACTAAAGAAATACTGGATTTGAGCTCTGTCATGGTGCCTACATGGTACAAAGCAACTCAGCAGATGCCTGAGAGTCATTCCCAGAATTTGAGATAATTGAAGTGGAACTTGCTTGTACTGGAGTTTCTTTGGGGGAATAAGTATACTCAATTAGTATATGAAGCAGTGTCCCAGGTAATTGAGAGGAGCAGCGGCAATTAGGGCAGAATTATTATTCTGTGTATTTTGCAATTTATAGACATGTCATTATGATACAAACTGCTAACTAGAACAACTTAGTTCTTTGTGGTAATTGAATTTCAGTAAGGTGCAACAATTTGTTTTTCCCAATAGGCTATTCAAAAAAGATGAAGATCATGTACAGAGAGAAGAAAAAAGGGAAGAATTCTTAAATTTAGATGCTTCACCCAATTATAGAGCACTACTTACGGTATGGTAATGTTAAGAATAAATCACTGCAGAGCTCTAAATGGTAACCCTTGAAAAGCCACACAGAAATACATGTTTTGTTTTGCTTTTCATGTCCTTGTTCTCATCTTGTCTTCTTAGTTTGTAATCTTTTCTGAAAAAAAAAA